CGACATATAACACAACCAATGCACATACAGATAATCACATAATACTAAAGGTAGTCCTACAGATCTACCTAACTGGCATAGCAACTAACATGCAACACTAACTCATACTCAACATACTACCAACTGCTCAGAAATCATATCCAATGGGCCGACCTTGGTGCCTTAGACCCCTTAGTATAGTGAGGATAACTCACCTGGCACTGCTGAAGTCCCACGGAAGAAACTACAGCTGCTGGTTGACAGATTCCTGAACTGCCAACATCAAACAATACCCAATTAATAATTGGGTTCCAAGCCCAAGGTCCAACTCACACTCTAAAGGCCCAATAGTCAAGTAATAGGCCAAAGCCCAACATATGACCTAATTTTCCAAATTGGGCCCAGACCTCTACATGGTATTTCCTTAAGGCTCATCCATTAATTCTAGTCCAACCTATTGGTATACCAATGGCCCAATATCTCATAATCATAAAGGCCCAGTTTAGGCCCACCTACGACCCAATTTTCCAAATTGGGCCCAAGTCCTTCACATGGGCCTTACCATAAAACTCATCCAGTTATTTTGGTCCATTTACTTGTTCTTGGATAGCCCATCAATAGTCCAACCACCAAGGCCCAATAGGAAGGCCCAAATCAAGGCCCAAGTGAAATTAGGGTTTTCACATGAAATGACGATTAGGGTTAAGTGTTTCTTACTTAACCCACTAAGGACTTAATCCATTAAGTCCAATATTGCCTTAGGTTAATTTGCCAATGATTATTATTTAATATTTTAAGTTTATTAAATAATTCTCATGTGTCCCAATCAATTCCCAAAATTAGGGTTTCATGGCATTAGGGTTTTCCAAACCCTAATTAGGGTTTCCAACCCAATTACTAGCCCATTAATCAATTGGTTGGGCTTTTAGGTCCATTAGGCTTCATTGGGCCCATTAGGGTTCTTTGGGCCCACTAAGGTCTTATTGGGCCCACTAGGCTTTCTTTGGGCCTATTTTGACCAAACATCCCAAATGAGTCCAAAAATGCAAACGGGGCACACCGCCACCCAACACGACGGCAGGAGGCGGCATCCACCACTCTACGGTGGTGGTTTGGGTTTTTCTTTTCATAATTCCATTTGTCACAATTTACAATGCTAAACCCCAAATAACACACACACACGCTAATTCAACACACACACAACCACCCTAGTGGTGGCCGGCGGTGGAACGTGGTGGTGGTGACTTCTTTTCAGATTCCGGCCAAGGGTTTCCTACCCACACACTACAACACACACTACATTACACCCACCTAAAGTATACAGAAATCACACACACACAGCCACCTTCAATGATGGCTGGTGGCGACGGAAACATGGCAGCAAGCGGCGGCCACCATGGCTGGCGGCCATGGTGGTTCCTTTCCTCGATCTCCGGCCAGCATCACACACATATGACTTCTCTCTCCTGAAACACGCACCCAATCGTCGATCTAAACTGAACCACGCACCCCTCACAGCCACTCTGTGGTGGTAGGCGGCGGCTAGCAGCGGCCAGTGTCGGCAAAACTCCCCCACGTCAAAGGCTACTTCGAACAATAGCAACAACAGCCGAGGAGCGGACCTGCTGGTGGTCCTCGTCTTCATCAGCAGCTCCCGCGGCGGCAATGGTTGGTGGTTTACGACCTCTACAGCGGGAGTGGCGGCTCCGGTAAGGTGGTAGCACGAACGTCACGTCAGAATGGAATGGAGATTGGTGGCGGTCGAACAGCAAGATGGAAACCCGATGGTCTTTGTCGCCGGCAGCAGGAGCTCCAACGGTAGATTACGACTCGGCAGTGGCAGGTAACGGTGCCGAAGATCAAAAGGGAAAGAGGGTGGCGGCTGGAGCTTACACCATTAGTGTTAGGGTTTAGGTTACGGGGCGGCGACGGTTATATACCTGCCCTTCCAAACTTATTGCTATAATGGCATAATTGGCCCCTCCCCATAACATTTTTTTCCAATCTTAATCCAATATTTACCATTTAAACCCTACCTTTCCAAAATCCTTTCATATTAAGTCCTTATGTTACCAAATGGCCCTCCACTTTGAGAATCTTTTGCAAAACAAATCCAAAAATTACACTCTAACCCCCGAGACTCTAAATCATGTCATTTGGCTTCCCGAAACCAACACTCCGTTAATTATTATTTGATTTTGGGGTAAAATAATATAAATAATAATAAAAATTATCTCTCGGGGTTCTAGGTTTATCATTTAATTATTCTATTTTAAATGGGATGTTACACACACACACACACACTCTCTCTCTCTCTCTCTCTCTATATATATATATATATATATATATATATATATATATATATATATATATATATAAGTTCAATATGAGTATAATTTCATGGTTGTTTTGGATGATTACCTTGAACTTTGAATTTCTAATGCTTTCAGCTTTTGGTTATTTCTTTGAAGATGGAATTTTTGGTTGAAATAATTTTTCATTAAACATGTTAAAAAATTTATATGTTTGATTTAACACTAAACAACAAATAAATATATAACTACATTGTACAAAGAATGAAGTCGATTGATACCTTTGTCTTGATTGCCAAATTGGTTGTAGCATTGATTATGAAGTTTTACTGGCCGGTTGTCGTTAATCTCAGTCGATAAATCTGCTTACTCAACTTCATATATTCTCTCAAGTCTCAATCACTAATTTGTACTTGATTTATGAAACTTATTTCGTTTTTTTAATTGATTTATAAAAATCAAAGAAATGATTTTATTGTCTTTTTTTAATAATATTGTATGCTATATAAGAGAGACCACATCACTTTCCAGGGAATATGCTTTGAATTAAATAATTAACCAGCATTTTGCGTCTAACGGTGACTACACTGTTAACGAATTAAGCCCCAGAAAGTATAAGTTTTTGTTATGATTAAAGTAGTATATAATGTTCATTTAGTGGTTTACTTATGGGATAATGACTTAAAGGGTAATTTATTTTTTCATTTGTACACATTTGGTCATTGAATTTTTTCGTCCATATTTACACCTTCAACTTGTTTAAACTGTACACATTTAGTCATTATGACCGACTATTTCAGGTAAGCCGGAAAAAGTGATTTAATAGAGTAATATATATTTCACTCTGTATACATGTAGTCCTTAATTATTTTTGCACATTTAGTTCTTAATTTTCTTTTTGTTGCAAAATTAGTCATTATTGTTTTTGTACACATTCAATGCTTATGGCCGATTTCTTTAGGTTTTTTTTCAAAGCATCTTACGTAGGACAATCATTAATAAAGTGTTAGGGGTTGTTGATGCTTATGACCACCATGACCTCGGCTGGTTAGGTCTTGTGGTTTGACTTATGTCTTGTGTTCAGAGCGTCTTAGCTTCTTCATACGATCTCAGAGTTTAACGATATTTGTATCCACACGTTCGTATTTAAGTCTACTACAATTTTTGTTTAGATACTCTCGTTAAAAAGTAATATATTTTTACTTGCGATTTTATAAAAAAATGTTTATACATACATTCATAAAGTACGCATGGATATAAAGATCGTAAGTAAAAATATATTACTTTTTAACGGCAATAATCTAAACGAATGTTGTAGTAGACTCAAATACGAACACATAAAGAAGTTACGATGTTCAGAACACAATACTTAAGTCAAACCACAAGACTTAAGCAGTCGAAGCTGCAGTAGTCATAAGCACCAACAACTCCAAACACCTTATTAATGATTGTCTCATATAAGATTCTGTGAGAAAAACCTAAAGAAAACGGTCATAAATACTAAATGTGTACAAAACAACATTGATGTATTTTGCAACAAAACAAATATTAAGGACTAAATGTACAAAAAAAATATTAAGGGCTAAATGTGCACAAATTGAAAAATATACTACTCTATTAAGTCATTTTTTTTGGTTTACCTAGAGTAACCGGTCATAAGGATTAAATGTATACAGTTTAACAAGTTGAGGGATAAATATGGATGAAAAAAAAACTTAGTGACCAAATATGAACAAATATCTTCTGTTTTAACAAATCCTTTTGTTTATTGAGATTTTTTAAACATGTGCCATAAAATATACATAAAAAGCATTAATTAAACTATTAGTTATTAGTTATCGAGAATGTTATCTTAATCAAATATGAAATATTTTAATTATAAAGAATATTTTTTATAATTAATGAACTTCATATTTATTTATGGTAATATTATCATAACTAATAATTAAATTAATGTTTTTTATATTTATAAAGATAATATTATTGATAATATACAAAGTAGTTCTAAATTATAATATTTTTATCCCTAACCTAGATCGATTTTTTTTTACTTTGTCGTTAGAAACTTTGACGCCTCGTTCCCGAGTTTAACAAAAGAAAAAAAGAGAAGAGAAAAGAAAGTCACGAGAGAAAAGAAGAGAAATGAAAGAAAAACAAAATTTTCTTTTGTGTTCCCGAATTGGAGAGAAGTGGAAAGAAAATGAATCATTTTATTCTTTTCTTTCCAAATCCTCCCAAATCTTACGCCTCGTTCCTGAGTTTAACAAAAGAAAATAAGAGAAGAGAAAAGAAAATTACGAGAGAAAAGAAGAGAAAGGAAAGGAAAACAAAATTTTCTTTTGTGTTCCCGAGTAGGAGAAAAGTGAAAGGAAAATGAATCATTTTGTTCTTTCTTTCCAAATCCTCCCAAATCGGAAAGAAAGTTAGGAGGGAAAATGATCCTCCCATTTCCCTCCATTTTCTTCCACTTCCCTCCTTTAATAAAACTCGGGAACACGGATTTCTTTTATTTTCTTCTTATTTTCATTCATTTCCTTTCCTTTCTCTCGTTAAGTTGAACTCTGGAACGGGGTGTTAAGGAAAGTTAGGAGGAAAAGTTGATCCTTCCATTTCTCTCCGCTTCCCTCTTTAATGAAAATTAGATTCGGGAACACCAGTTACTTTTATTTTTTCTTCTCATTTCCTTTTCTTTTAACTTCAACTCGGTAACGGGGTGTGAAAGATGAACAAATACCCTCTGTTTTAACAAATCCCCTTTGTCGTTTGTGGAAGGCTGGAAGAGTGAAGCGATAACGTTCGTCACGATGAACCAAGAGCTTCTTCTCTCATGGCGTCGTCCATGTCTCCCCTTTCCCACAACCATCACAAAACCCACCACCGTCGTTTTTCAACCAATCCGGGCAACTCTTCAAACATCGTTCGACGAAAAAGCGGAAATTCTAACTGCGAAAGAGAAGAGAGAGTTGAGGAACGTGAAAAGAGAGGAAAACAAATCGTATAATTGGAGGGAAGACGTGGAAGAAAGGCTATTGAAGAAACCAAAGAAGCAGTTTAACTCTTGGAAGGAAGAGCTTAACCTCGACAAACTCGCGGTAATGGGTCCGCAATGGTGGATCGTCAAGGTCTCCAGGGCTAAAGGAAAGGATACTGTTGACCGGATGATGCAGGCACTCGCAAAGAACTTTCCTGATGCTGAATTTCAGGTAATTAATTAACTCTTGTGTTTGATTTATCTTCCATTTGATGTTCTATAATCACCATAGATTTTGCTTCAACAATTCTCGGGTTACATCGGATTTTACCCCAATTTGAATCTAACCTAATTGAATACTACATTTTCGATTTGATGGCAGGTATTTACTGCAGCTGTTTCTGAGAAAACTAAGTTGAAGAACGGGAAGATTTCAATCAAACCCAAGCCTTTGTATCCCGGATGTGTGTTTTTGAATTGCATATTGAACAGGGAACTCCACAATTTTATAAGAGAAGAATGTGAAGGAGTTGGAGGATTCGTTGGAAGAATGGTTGGAAATACGTAAGCAACAACTTCTCCTTCCCCATTCTCCTGTTAGATCCGAATGACCCAAATTGACCCATTTTAGGTAAACGGGTCGAAATTGCTTCCTCTAAACATCTAACATAAAACTTCTATTTGCAGAAAAAAGCAAATTAACAAACCCAGGCCAGTATCCGCAGCTGACATGGAAGCAATATTTCAAGAAGTGAAGGAAAAGCAAGAAGCAACAGATAAAGCTTTTGAAGAACAACAACAGTTAGAGATTTTAGAGAAAAAATCACTTTCACTTTCAGATAAAAAAGTATCCAAGAGTCGATCAAGAAAACCTTCAGGGCCTGTTCTTGGGTCAACTGTTCGGATTGTGTCAGGGCCATTTTTGGACTTTTCAGGCACCATAAAAAAGCTAGATAGAAAAAGAGGATTGGTATGCATTATTTCCTTTTTTGACTTAATCTTACACTTAATGCGACTTAATATAGAAAGTCATGGAAAGGAGACTTCTTTACAAATTTTCCTCATTTCTTTTTTTCAGGTAACTGTTGGTTTTACATTGTTTGGGAAGGATACTTTAGCTGATTTAGATGTAAGTGAAATTGTAGAAGAGAAGAAATGATGCATTATTGAGCCATATCATAATCCCAAGTGGTGAGTGAGTTCTTAAGTCATATTTTTACCCAGTTTGGACGATTTTACCCTTACCACTTCCGTCATGTAGCATCTTAGCGTGTGTGCCATGAGGATGCATAAGGGTTAAAAATGTAATTCAATGTCAATTCATGTGCTGTAAGTTATGAACCAAGCATCTGTTATGGTCAAACATCGGTCAAACTCCTAGGCCAAATCAAGAACCTGAAATCGACCCATGAGCTGTATCCATCCAGTCAAAGGTCAACTTTCATCTATAGGGGAGCTGTTGTGGTTTAGATTAGATATTGATTATGAAGTTTATTGGACTAAATTTAATGAAGTTGTTAATATCTTTTTTTTATCTGAAGTGCTTTTGATATTTGTGGCATAAGTTTGTTCTTGAATGAAGTTAGCTTGATGAAAATGGAATACGTTTCATTTGAGACTTAATGATTAAACACTTGGAGCAATCGCATTGTGGACTTAATTTATTAATTAGGAAGTGACAGATAATTGAGGAGTTGTGGGTGTGAAGTTGAATGATAGAAAATACTGAAGAATGACGATGTTGATTATGATGCTATAAATTTAAATGAAATCAGGAATCATAATATATTAAACATGTTTTAAAGAAATTCAGCAGTGAATTAGTGATCTATTTAGGTTTATGTGTGTTTTTGTATACCTTGCTATCTTTAGAAAGTGAAGGTGTATATTAGCAAAACAAGCTAAAAAAGTTAAAAGCACCAAGAGTAGAATAAATATTCAAAGTTTTTGAAATACAGAATTCTGCTGTTAACTAAATTAGAAAGAAGTTATGGTGAACGTTGACCATTGGCATTGAGATCTGAAGGGTCAACTAAGCCTTCTAACACAACAAGTTCATCTAAAAGTGAGAGTTTTTCCTCTTCAAGAGATTTAACAGCATCTTGAATCTCTTTTGTTTCTCTTCCAACATTAAAGCTTTCTTCTTCTAAAAGTAAATATTTGCGTCTCAGAGATCGATAATCATTACCAGTAGAAGAAGAGTCAGGTAGAGAATCAGAAGTTGTTGACTTTTCTTGTTGTTGGAAGATTTGTGCTTCATTTTTAGAGCTTCTTTTGGAACCCCCTTTTGTGTTGTTTTCTTGTGTTAGCTTCTTTGTAGTGGATGGTTTTCTTTTTGTTGACTTTGGTGGTGTTGTTTCATCAATTGGAACCATTTCATGGTCTTGCATTTCTTCAATCTGAGCACAAAGATAAAATGAGTTTCAATCGTTGAAAGATTTATCATTAACTGTAATTTGTATACCTTTTGGGTTACCTAACAATGGAAAACTTCTAATGAAGAACACCAACATTTAAATTACATTGATAATGGGAGCTTCAAAGCCACCTAGAACATTGGTTATTGTAGAAGCCATGGGAACAGGATATGTAGCAGGTGCTAAGTGGACGATTTTACCCTTGAATCATCTGGATCCCCTACCCCCTCAGTATAAAAGATCAAAGATAGAACTATAAAACCTCAGAAATTGTGCGTTTTTTTGTTTAGAACTAAGAAAGAATCAGAAAACCTCAAAGTCCTCTTTCAGGTTTCTACATTTCAGTCGCGCTTTCCTTGCCCCTTCCCTACCAGTTGGACTATTTTGTGGATCCGGTTCATGGCTCGAGTTATAATTCGGTGAAACTAATTCTTCTACGATTAACTATTTAACAGTGAAATTCATAAAAGAAAAACCTTCAATAAACCCTAAGTAAGTGAATCTCGTAACGAATTATGATTACGATAGTTTAATCATAAGAGAAAGGTACTCACCAGCAATTAAGCAGACAAAGGAAGCAGTGATGGCGTAATCAATCGGAGCGTCGATCGGCGGAGCATCAGAGGGAACAAATGGCGTCTGCGTAGTACGTGTATAATAGTGTAAGTCTGAGTCGAATAGATTTGGATGAGATTTGAGACGATGAGTTGAAGGCTGTTCGATCTTCCCGGAGTACTTTCCCTCGTTCTATAACTAACAAAAAGAAAATGGTAAATTGGGCTTCATCATCAGTATTCGCTAAAATATATTTGGGCCTTTTCAGATTTGGCCTCTTAATTCTCATTTCTCAAATGTTACTAAAGTATTTCTCATGTCATAAATTGAAAATAGAAATTATCATGTGAATCTCAGTCACCCTCATACTAATGATAACATATTCATAGTCACCCACCATTTTTTTTTCACTTCAAGAATTGAAGAAGGAGATGGGGAAATAATAAATTGAGTAGACATTGGGCCTTTGGTAAAACTATTTAACGGGTAGAATCTAAAAAAGTAGTTTTTATTTGTATATAGATGTTTAATTGTAGTTATAAGATTTTAAAAGTGTAAAATTACTTAAAAATCAATATTAGTTATAAGATTTTAAAAATGTAAAATTATATAAAAATCAATAGTTAAAAGTTCTCAAAATCTCCTAAAAAAGAAATAGTTTTTTTATTATGAGATTTTTGTTAAAATAAAACTAAAATCTCGTATTATTGGATGAAGTTTTTTCTTTAATCGTAAAAACTAAAAGTTTTTAAAAACATGTTATCAAACTAAATAATAATAATAACTCTTTTTGGGGAAAAAAGATAAATAGTAATAACAACAAAATAAAGTTTAGATTAAATTACTACTTTAATTTATGATTAACCATCAAGCTTTAGAATTAAGAATCTAAATACAAGCAGACCACCAAAAAAATTGTATGTTCATTTAATCTAAAAATATAGATAGTTTCTTTGATTTATTATTTTACTCTTCGTTTCAATTATCTTAAACATCTTACTTGAAAGTATAAACAAAACAAATTTGATATGTTATCTTTTTTTAATCCATAAACATAATAATTCGAAAACATTATGGTCCTATATATTATATATATAATATTAAAAATCATAGTTCTTATGAATAGTATATTTTATGCACTTCAAAATTTAGCCACAATAATTTTGAAGGTTAGCCATTTTGGTCCCTGTTCTTCCCTCTAACCCGTAGGTAGCGGATGGTAGCATTGCTTCCTGTATCATCAGGACACATGCACGTCTTTGATGCTTCACTGCCTCTATCATACACAACGTCTTCTACTTTCCCTCCCATCGATACGCCATTACTTACACCTCTTATCTTCTTTCCGACAATGTGGTCACCGTTATCACCAATGTCTGTTTAAGTACAAATCGAGGTTTAGGTTTTGCTGATTTTTTTTTTTGGAAACCATTGCACTATGCATGTAACTCTAAATTGGAACATGTCCACCAATATGTAACGCTTGGTTCCGGTATAAGTTTAATTCTCCAATTGTTTATATTTTCCTTTGGGACTCGACGAGTTGGAAGCTTCCACTCGGCGTGTCGAGAGGGATTTGGCCGCAGAAATTAATGAACCAACTTGGCGAGTCGAGGTGTCTCAACTCGGCGAGTTGGCGGCTGAGAAGGAAACCCTAATTTTTAGGGTGTTGTTTCCTATTTAAAGGCCTTAAGTCCCTTGGTTGGCCCCCTTACCAGCCTCTTCTGTCCAGAAACCCTAATAGCGTGTATCATCTTCTTTTGTGAGTGTGTGGCCTTGTGGAGGGCCTTAAGTGTTGATCTTTTGTGCTCTTTTGAAGAAGCTTTGAAGTTGGAGGTGTAAAGTTTGGAGAGAAGATTTAGATCCAGAATCTCCCCACTTGTTGCAGTCTCCTGGAGGTATTGAGTTTATACCTTGCTTTGTTATCGTTTAGATCTCTTTGTTTTGGGGTTTTATCTTGATTTTGGGCTCATGGTTGGGTTGTCCAAGAAGTTGAGTGTTCTAAGGGTTGTTATGTTAGATCTGACAATTTTATGGCCTATTTTGGCTTAAAGTTGCAAGATTTACTAAGTTCTAGGTCCCATTCATGCAATAAGTCCTTTATTAGTCCATCTTGAGCCCTAGGGTTTCTTTTTAGCATGCATGGATGTAAAGTTGGAAACTTTACGTGATTTTCCAGCCTTCGGATGCCAGATCTGTATTTTAGGACTATGTCTTGGGAGTTTAAGGGCTTGATGGGTCAAGCCTCACTCTAATGAGTCTAGGGTTCGAGTTTGACTCATTTTGATGGTTCCTAAGGGTAAATTTGGAAACTTTACCCTTGTAGACATCATTTTGGAGGAGATCTGAGATTTGCAGTTCCTAGATTCGAGGGAAACAACTTAATGCATTAAGCTGTTGGATTTCTGGCTAACTCGGCAAGTTGATAAGATTTTTACCGATTCGTGCAGTTAATGGAGAAACAAGATGAGTTGAAGGACAACTCGGTGTGTTGGGTCAACTCGGGACGTTGACTTTGACCTTTGACTTTAGTCTTTGACCAAGTTTGACTTATAAGGGGTTTTTGGTCATTTTAAGTTGTATTTAAGGAATTGTTTTTGTTTAGGGGTTGAGTAGAGCTGATATTCGAATCCTGGACCTATTCAGCTATCGTTCAGTATTCAAGGCATGTCTTCTCACTACACTCATGGGTTGAAGGCACCAAGGCCGACCCATTAATGGTTATGAGATGATTTGTATTGGAGTATGTAATTGTTTGCTATTTGATCTATATGTGGACTTATGTGTAGACCATGGGAGGAGCCCATAGCATTTGGCAAGACCATAGGAGGAGCCCATGGATCTGGGATATAAGACCATGGGGGTAGCCTATGACATTCCAATGAAGACCATGGAGGGATTCCATGGAAAACTTATATGTATGTGTGCATGGTATTATGTGATTTTATGTTTGCATGTTTTGGAAAACTCGCTAAGTGTGTGCTTACAATTTTATTGGATGTTTTAGGTACTTCTGGTTCTAAGGGCAAGGGTCCGGCTTGATGGCGCGGCATGCATTCTCCAATATTTCTGCATCTAATTTTTGATACTCTAATCTTCTGAAACACTGTGGTTATGTAATGGGATTATTTTGGAAACAATTGTGGTTGGTTTTTATAAGTATAAAAGTTAAAATTTTTGTGTAAAATTTGGGATGTTACAAGTTGGTATCAGAGCCTTGGTTTGAGAGGTTCGGGCACACTCTTGGGTGTGTTAGAACTCAAACTGAGGAAATGGTAAAAATTGTTTTACAACAAGAAACCAAAAGTTCAAATTTTTCTAAAAAAGATTTTTGTAAGAAAAATGGGAGAGTGCAATGCGCGTAACCGTCCGAGCTCAAGTAAGTGTTTCCAATGTTTTAGCCATGCTATATATATATATATATATATATATATATATATATATATATATATATATATATATATATATAGAGAGAGAGAGAGAGAGAGAGAAATTGATGTTGAATGGATTATTTGCACAACTTATGCTTTCAAAGTTGTACATGCTTAGGATTGCATAGCCCTAGAATGAGGGAATCTGCCTTATTCATGTTCCTTATCTGGTTGTGGTTTAGGGTAGAAGCTTTATTTGACAGTCTATGTGATTCTCTTTGTGTAGAACTTGCATGCATAGGGCAACCTGCTATGATTGATTTGAATTCTGATTTGATGAGGATTGAGAATCCTATAATAGTTTAGGATTTGAGTTAGTGTTGTATTTTTGGGTCATGATTTGTGGTTAGATGATCTAGGAACAAGGTTCTAAATAACGTGAGGCGTGGCTTGGCGGCAAGGTAAAAGTTAAGCCATGACAAGCCTTGGCGAGCCATGACGTTTTTCAAGGCGTGACTATTTTCTATATATTAAAAGAGATAAATCATATAATTATTGATTTTTATCAAGTATATCAAGTTTTTAGAAGTGTTATATTAGTATTTAATATAAAAGTTAACAAAAACTCAATTATTTTAGGCCCGATAAAAAAATAAAAATAAAAAAACAAAAAAAAACTCGCGTCTTGAAAAAAACTCGCGCCATATCGCGATAAGGCGCGCCTTGACACATTATTTGAGCGCCACACTTAACAAACCTGCCTTGAATGTTTTCGTAACGGCTACACCACGCCTCACGCCATGGCACGCCTTGAGGCGCGCCATGGCGCGTTTTTTAGAACCATGTCTAGGAATATCAGGTATGGCCTTGGGGGAAGGTACATGTAGGTGTGGAAGGTAGTATTGGGACCATACTACTGAAAGTACAGGACTTGTACCCGAATCAATGACAATTCTGATAGCTCTTAGGAGTCTGGTGAGGAGGAATCCCTTTCGAATTCTTCATCATTGTTATTTATGATGTTTTTCAGTTGAGGATGGTGATGATCACGCGAGATTCTGGATCAGGATCGGGATCAGGTTTACGCTCTGGTGCGGAGCCCGTTGATGAGAGGCTGGGCGATCTTATCGCAGTCGAGGTTACTCGTGGCATCCTTGACGCTACCTCAGTGAACTTTAGTACCGTCAAGGAGGGCATCATGGAGATCATGGAGGAGCGGCTCAAGTCTTTTCGAGCCGAGATTGTTGTAGGGGCCCGATCCCCCTTGTTTAGGAAGTTCAAGGCGTGTGGAGCGCCTGAGTTCTTCAGGGTCAGGGATCCCATCACTAGTTGACGTTGGGTGGCAGACATGGAGAATGCCCAACGCACGAGCTTTTGCCCCGATGCGACAAAGGTAGGGTTCGTATCCTATATGTTGAGGGATCGAGCACGAGACTGGTGAGAGGAGGTTACCCGCGAGGTGTGGCTGAGATCTCTTGGGAGGAGTTTGTGAGGAGGTTTGATCAGGAGTTTGCACCGTCCATTGAGGTGCAACGTTTGGTGAGAGAGTTACAGGATTTACAGCAAACTACCGAGACGGTGACTGAGATCACCGCCAAGTTTCGGGAGAGGGGAGTATTAGTCCCACAGTATGCTGCGGATGAGGAGATAAAGAAGACGAGGTATCATTCCATGCTGAGGGATGATATTCGGGAGTTTGTGAGCTTTTCGGGGTGTAAGACCCTGAATGACATGGTGGAGAAGGCCCAAGAAGGGGAAATTGAATTAGAGCTTCGCACGAAGCGGAAGCCGGAGTAGGTTCAGGCAGTTGTGGGTCAGGCTAAGAAGCCTAAGATCTCTGATCCTCCCAGCAGGGGCCAGTAGGGCCGTGGACGATGTGCCAAGTGCGGTAAGCCACACAGTGGAGCTTGTCGAGCTGCAGGCTTGACATGTTATGCATGTGGTCAGCTGGGTCACATGAGTCGGGATTTCCCCAAGAATGGCTTGATTTGTTTTCACTGCAACCAGACCGGTCATAAAATTGCCCATTGTCCGAGGTTGGATAGAGGAGGAGAAGCAGTGGCGGCGCCTGCACCCGCCACGATGAGGATTACTGATGGCCGTCCGATCAAGGCGGAAGCTCCTGCGATGAAGAGTCGCGCATTTCAATTGACTACCAAGGAGGCCCGAGCAGCGTCAGACGTCGTGACTGGTATGTGATCTATTTATGTCTTGTTTATCTTATTGTTATGCTTATGATGTTATGATTTCATATAGGGACCTTTCTGGTCAATGGTTTGTCAGCTCAGAATCTTTTTGATTCGGGGGGCTACCCGATCATTTGTATCTCTTGCACTTAGCAAGAAGTTTCGAGATGCTCCGGGGACTTTGGATTCCCCACTCGAGGTGGAGATTGCGGATGACCGCACCGTGAGTGTTGCGAGGGTATTTCGGAGGAGTGTTATGAATATGCTTGGGGAGAGGGTTCCTATAGATTTGGTTCTGATTCCTTTGCGTGGTTTGAAGGTGATCATCGGAATGGATAGGTTAGGGCCCAATGGGGCCAATGATAGATTGCGAGGGTCAGTTCTTTTGATCATGTGGGTTTCTAAGCTCTTTGATGTCTATAGCCAAAAAAATACAACTTGAGGAGAAGTGCACAAATATGTATAATTGCATACACAACGTCATATTCTTGTAGGAAAGCATATTCTAACATAGAATTAGTTTGATACCATACAAATATGGGGTGTAGACTTAAACTCTATATCTCATCCATACGTACATGATACATATAGAAATCCATACCATTTGTGTGTTTACATGTATCTTCTACAACAATATTCATATTCAATGTGTTGTTTTAGTTATGCGGTTATGATCAGTATACTCTCTTTGAATTATTGTAAACGTTTGTTAAAATTTTAAACGTTTGATATGTATTTCTTTATAATTGCCTATGTTGTAGAATACAATGTGTATTTTTTATTTCTATTTGTCATGTTTTTATTGTATCGTATGATATAACATTAAATGCTTTTGTTTATAGCTTGGATAGTTTTTTCTTTTTTGTATGGAAAATGTTTACTAAAAAATATAATGTCTTAACATATTGAAATTTTTTGTAGACCATGAAGATGAGTTAAACACGACCCCTTTCGGTCTTGATGATGAGTGTAAAAAATAATGAGCATGTAATATATTATAGTTTTGTGGGCTTGATTTTTTATAATATATGGATGTCATTTTTGTTATTTGATACGTATTTCTGTATAATTGCCTATGTTGTACAATACAATGTGTATTTTTTTTCTATGTGTCATGTTTTTCTTGCATCGTAGGACATAACATTAACTGTTTCTATGTGTCATTTTTATTACACTCATCATAAAGACCAAAAAGGGGCCCGGTGTTTAACTATTTCTTTTTCTAGTTTTTGAAAAATAACAACTTTCTTCCAAATGCTCATTCTTGTATACTCTTCATATTCTAAAGTTTTTCTTTTTCATTTTCAGTATTTTTTTTTCAAAAAAATCTCTCTATTTATATTTGAAAAGTCTATTTCGAGCTGTTTAAATTGGCACTTACTCCCGAATGCTTCATTTCGGATTTGATCTTCAAACTTTGGAGTTTTTTTTATGATTTTTTTAAAGAAATATTCATACTTATGTCAAAAATGTTTATTTCGTAGTGTTTAATGTCACCGTTTTTCGATAAAATGTTTGATTTTGTACACTAATATCACATATATTTCATATTTATTATGTTTTTTTTTACCTTTTTGTTAGATTTAAATAAAAAGTTGAATTTTTTTTTCTAAAAAATTTTGGAATTATTTATTTGATTTCAGACTTTTTCCTAAAATTCAGGAGTTTTTTTTTTCGAAATCTGAAATTTTGCCCAGGAATTCCGGAATGTCGATCTAAAATGTAATTTTTTGTCATAGAAAATGTTTTTTTCTTAGTAGGTGTCTCTTCTGATTATTTTTGCTAAATACATTTTTTTTATTATTCTCTTTAAATCCTCATTGAATTGCTGTTAGATTACTTAATTTCCTTTATTTAAATTACATAATTACATGACAAAATGCGGCAGTATTTTTGGCAATTTGTCAACTTGAAGCAAAAAGAAATCCTCTCTCCAACTACCTTTTATCTATCTCCCAATTTCAGCTACACGAAATGGCCACCAACAGCAAATGCAGCATCCCGGTGATTGATCTACAAGATTTCCCCAACCAGTTATCCAAACTGATCTCAGCATGCGAAGAATGGGGCTGTTTCCGGCTGCTCAGCCACCACGAAGTCCTCCCGTTGACACTGATGTCAGAGATGAAAGCGGTGGTCAGATCACTCTTCGATTTGCCGGCGGAGACCAAGCGCCAGAACACCGACGTCATCACCGGAAGCGGATATATGGGTCCGAAGGTAAATAATCCGGTCTACGAAGCACTTGGATTTCATGACATGTCATCTCCTCATGACGTTGATTCTTTTTGCTCTCAATTGAATGCTTCACCACATCAAAGGTACGTACATCATCCCTCTTTCTGTAACTGTAACTGTATACACATATTTCACGATCACCATCGAGATGCATTAGATTGGTAGGAACTTGGTTGCTTTCATGGTGTTCCAAAGACATGAATATTCTTACAGGTAATTGATCCGGAAAATAAAATAAAACAATTTTAAAAGATGGTTCTCTATTCTTTTCTTAAATTAAGAGATATTATATCTTCAGAAGTAAGAACTATTAATAGTGATGAACATGTTATTTAGCAATATAAAGAAAAACAATTTCAAAACCTTGTTTAAAGAAATCTTTAGAGAAAGTCATTAGTAAAAACTAGTGTATCATTTTTATTTATTTGTTAACTGATTTAGGGTTAATTACATTAAACAAAGTTTGTTTAATGTATTATGTTTTTTCGGATTAAACTTAATTTTAGTTTTATTTTTACTTTTTCAAAACAAATCTCTTACATTTTGTTCGATTAGACCATATTAACAGGTTGACCGGTTCGTCGTTCGCTCTAAACAATTTTTAGAAAAAAAAAATAGGTTTGATTCAAAAAAATGAAAAAGAATATAAAAACCAAATCGAAAAAAATAAAGTTTGTGTTTAATTAGAAAAAGAATTCAATATACAATTTTTTAAATGTAATTTTTTTTAACCAGATTTTTTTAAATATAGTCAACATATTGATTTAAATACAATATATTTATCAGAATTTTATAATTTAATATAAGTTCTAAATATTAATAATTATCATGCAATTTGTGTATTTTAAATTAAAGTTTTGTTTGCAGACTAACCAGAAAATTAAATTTTAATTGAAATATCACTTTTTCATTTGATAAGCTAAGGTTGGATGGTATGTTGGAGGAAAGGAATGAGGGAAAGCTTCCCCACCCGAGAACACCATACCGTAGGAAAAAAATAAGGGGAGTCCATCCCCTCATTCTCTCTCCTCGTGTGATTGGTCAATGTTTTTTTTTTCATCTTTTTTAATATTTATTAAATTATATATATCAAAATTTATGGTTTTTGATTCCCTACAAAATAAGTATAATATTTGTATGAAATATATATTTTTTAAACAAAAAAAAATGAAAGATTCTTCCCACACACACCCTGACTTTCGATAAGGGAAAAAAAAGTTGAGGAACTGATGAAGTGGGCAAAAAGTAAAGAAAGTTTTCCACACACCGGTAAATTTAAAAGGTGTGGGATATAACCTCCCTTTTTTCTTGCCTTATCGTCGTAATTTCATTTTTCGTTCACCCTCGTCACTAATAGAAATGGTCATCTATCACCCCGCCTCCCCCTCCATCTTTACTCTTTATACAAATATATAAAAAGGGTAAATTACACGGATGGTCCCTATGGTTTATGGTAATCTGCATGCTTGGTCCCTAATAACTTTTCTTAACTCGGACCGTCTCTACAGTTTGTTTTTGTTGCTAGTTTAGTCCCTATCATACCTAAAATGACATTTATACCCTTTTGACCTTTTTTATTAATATTATCTAATAAAAAAATTAACAAAAATACATGTGGGTCCTACTCCTTATCCCCTTCCCGACGCTACCTAAATTCTAAAACATTATCCTCACGCCTCAGCCTTGTATAATCTCTCATTCTATCATCTGCATTTGAAACCACATCACCAAAAACCACATCCACAATCATCGGAAGATCTACCTGCGATCCCTAAACCTTCGGCGACTAATAGTCCATCGGGTTTCTCTCTCTCTCTCTCTCTCTCTCTCTCTAACTTCTCTGACAAAAAAATTGTCGTTGGTTAGATCGGAGGTTTCATCATAGGTAAATCTCCGACTTCTTCACCTGAGGTCATCAACGATGAAGAGCTAGCAGACGCATTCACAATATCGCCTCACATAATCGTTCTACTGGATATCTGCTTCATCCAATATGCTCAGAGTTTACCCGCGTTCATGATCGGGTTCATATGATAGACTTTTCAATTTCATTTTCTTTAAACACACAAGATTTGGATTCGATTTTAGAGGGGGATTCACATATGGATTTCGAATTTGGGTTTGATTTTGAGGTTTCTCAAGATTTTGAATCTGATTTTTATTTCATAAGTGGTTTTGATTTTAGGTATGAGGTTTGATTTCAGATTTCAGATATGATTTTCAATTTTGTCTTAAGATTTAATTTTAGCGCTGAATATTATTTTGAGGTGATGAGTGGTGGTGTTTGACAGGAATTAACGTGGATCTTTGAATCAGAATTTTCATTTAGTTTGATTTTCATTTGGTTGATCCTATATTGTTGTGTAAATTGAAGAAGCAATAACCATGGTTAGAAAATATTATGGTGGCTGCCAGAGACGATGATCGTTGCCGGAGATGATGGTGGTCATGGCTGCCGGAGATGACGATGATGAAGATAATGAGAGGATAGTATTTACGACAACTAATGATGGTGGGCCCATTTACTTTATTTAATTATAATAACAAAAATAAATATTAAAAATATTAAAAATAAATAGATAAGGGTAAAAGAGTCTTTTTTATGTCTGGTAGGGACCAAATACGCAACAAAATGAAGTGTAAGGGACCAGCCGAGTTAAAAAAAGTTGTTAGGGACCAAGCATGCAGATTTACATAAACCATAGGGACCATTCGTGTAATAATATAAAACTAATAAAAAGAAAAATATTTCATTAGTTAAAAAAATGACATAATCAAAATAAAAAATGACATAATCTATTGCCGTAAATACCACGTATCTGACGAAGTGAAGATTACATTTTGAATTTAATATATTTAAGTATAGAGGTTTTTGGTGTTTATGTTGTGATATAAAAATGTGGGTGTTGTTTATTTATAATGAAGAAATATATATATTTTTTCTAAATACGTAAAAATATATATTTATATTTGTATAAAATATATTTTTACTTTTTAAACCGTAGAAAAAACATCATAAATGGTCCCTGTGGTTATCCAAAATCTGAAGTTTAGTCCCCGTGGTTTAAAAACCTCATAGATGGTCCCTGTGTTTTCAAAACTTTTGATGTTTGGTCCTTTTTGCTAACTCCGTTAGCTTTCTACCATTAAATGAAGGGTATTTCCGTCATTTAACTATCAAGGGACCTTTTATGAGGTTTTCTTTTATTTTATTTTTTAAAAAAGAAAAAAATAATTAAATTTAATATCCAATCTCTCTCTCTCTCTCTCTCTCTCTCTCTCTCTCTCTCTCTCGAACAGACAATAAGATAAATAATCATAAAATGGCAGATCGTTTCTATCCAAATAAAATGTCAAAGTTTCATCAAAGAAGAAGACCCACCTCCACCTGAAACCACCACAAATCCCCTAACAAAGACTCTATCTCTTCCCTACAACCTATTTTCCGATCAACTCAAACGAGCAACCATTGACCTCAAACAAATTGTATTTTCTACTTCTTTATTCCCTTAATTTATGTTTTCTCCCTTTCTTCCTTGTTTTCAAAGTTTACAAAGTTACACACAGAGAAAAAACAGAGAAGAACATGAAACCAAGAACCACAAAGAACATGAAAGACCTACCCCTTTTCGTCTCTTTACCTGACTCAAACTTTATTTCCCTTCTATCCTCTCTTCATTCACACAAACACAACCGATTTCAGTTTCATTCAAATTTAAGGCTCCGATTCAGACTTCCCCTCTGCCGCCACCGGAGAAAACACAATCCATAAATGAGGTCACAATCAACTATGCTTCTTAGATGTGTGCGTCTCATGCGTGTCCTGACAAGAAGAAGAAACCGCTGCCCTTTTCTACGACTTGTTCTTAAACAAATCAGGCAGCAAAAATCACAGCTCCCTTCAATCTCTTTTCGCCTAAATCGATCGATCTCTCATCTATTTCTATATTTCCCAAATCACACAAGGATTGGTCCTCCTTATCTAATTGATCGCAATCCTTCCCTCTTCTCTCGAATTTAATGTTGCAGATCTATCATTTCAAGGTTAGATTTGGTGTTGTAGATGTAGACAATGGACCTTGATTCGAGATTTGTGTGTAAGAATGGTCACCGGTGGTAGTGGGTATGAAGGTGGTTGTCGGTGGTGGTAGATATGGCGTTCGTCGGAGGTGGTGTGTAAGAAGTCAATCACAAAATGTAGGCTATGATGGTTGATTCAATGCTTTCCAGTTTCCACATTCTTGGAGAGAGAGAGAGAAAGAGAGAGAGAGAGAGAGAGAGAGAGAGAGAGACCTTTTATATATTTAATTATGTTTAATTTTTCTTTTTTTTTAAAAAATACGAGAAAACATCATAAATGGTCCCTGTGGTGGTGAAATGACGAAAATACCCTTCAGTTAACGGACAAACTTAACGGAGTTAGCAAAAAGGACCAAACATCAAAAGTTTTGAAAACACAGGGACCATCTATGAGGTTTTTAAACCACGGGGACTAAACTTCAGATTTTGGGTAACCACAGGGACCATTTATGATGTTTTTTCTAAACCATATAAGTAAAAAAACATGTCTATAAAGAAAACTACCATTTAAAAATATAAATACGAAGATTATTTAAACATTAAACATTCTTTCATATATAAATTCCTTTTCTAATATAAGTATGTATATGAAAAAATAAACAAAAATGTAAAAAAATTATAAATCTAATGATTTTTATGAATTTTAATTCAAGAAACCTGTAAACATATAAAAATGCGTATTTTTATTTAAAAAAATAAAGTTTTAATGTCAATACCCTAATTTTGTTTGTGTACTTGTATATATTTAACAGAGATACTATCATGAAATATTGCGGAGCAGTACAGGAACTATTTATAGGGATCGGAATGAAATTAGCCGAAGGTCTAGGGGTAAAAAGTGAAAATATTGGATTTGAGAACTGGCCATCTCGATGCAGGATAAACAAATACCACTTCACCCCTGAAACTGTTGGTTCCCCTGGAGTCCGAACACACAGACTCCGGTTTCCTCACCATCATCCAAGACGATGAAGGCGTCGGCGGTTTAGAAGTCACGACCAACTCCGGCGAGTTCTTCGCCGTCGATCCCTGGCCAGGCACCCTTTTCGTTAACCTCGGTGACATGGCAACGGTGCGTCTCCAAATTCGAAGCAACCTTTAATTTTAGGGCTTTTTGTTTTCGTTCCTAATTCCATTCGATTAAATTTAACGCGATATTGGTTGATCATCGATGATACTTGAAGGTTTGGAGCAATGGAAGATTTTGTAACGTGAAGCATAGGGTGCAATGTAAAGAGGCGAAGATACGTGTTTCGATTGCATCGTTTCTTTCAGGGCCGAGAGAGGCGGTGGAACCGCTGCCGGAGCTTGTGGACGATGAGCATCCCCGTGTGTATGTGGCCACCACCTACGAAGAGTACAGGAAGTTGAGGTTTTCGACGAAGCTGCAGACGGGCGAAACTCTTGCACTCTTGTACACATCAAGCTCCGACCAGTGATTAACAATGGTTTTAATCAGTCTCAATATGTTGAGAAAAAATGTGGCAATATGTTTGGAGTTTATGTTCAGAAAAAATAGAAAACATGAAAATTACATATTTAAGATTAGTATAGGCATATTGCCTAAATAATTATTTACGACATTCCAATAGAAGTTTTTTCATAAACAATGTCTTTGTCAAACTCCTGTCTCTCATATTCATTTGCATTTAGAATTATCAAGAACTATTTTTCTTGTTATTCGCTTTGGTAGATATATACCAATGGTAAGTAGTGATTGTCCAATACTTTTGTGGATTGTCATTGCAAATCAAATGGTCATATATTTAATCATTCAAAGCCATTATGATTCAAGGGATATTAACTTTGTTCTAATCACGTGTTTTAGACATCACTTGTCCTTCAAACTTTGTTATGTGCAACCTTGTATCGTTGTGTTGTCCAATCACCCTTGGCTTGATCAAAGATACATATTAGCTAGTTAGTCCACCTACTTTAAGTCGAGTAGGTGGTTCACAACACAGTTTCAAGCTCGAGTATATGATTAGAAATGAGCAAAATATTTCAAAAAAGAAGGCTAAAATGAAGTGGAAAATAGAGGGAATTTTTTTCAAAGTAATGTGCATAGGCATTATATTCCGGATATTAAAAAAAAAAATCTGAAGACTAAGGTATGGATAGTTATTGATTGTTGTTTGTTACTGATTTTGAAATTCTATTCTTCAATTTGTCTATTCAAAATAAAGTTACAGATCACATAAATTCGTTTAATTGGTTACAATCTCATTTTTTATCTTGTTCATTGCTTGTTGTGTTGAAACCTTGTTTCAAGATGATAAATAGGATCAATTCTTGATCTTTCTGATTGGACATGCTTGATTAAGTGTAGAGTTTTGGTTAGTTTAATTAATTTTTATGTGGAAGTTAGAAACTGTAGTTTTTACATATATATATAAAAGTGTTCATCAAGTTAGCTGGATACTTTTAAAAATGAAAATTTACATAAAATAGAAAGTAAAGACAAAATTCGGCGGTATTTTTGGCAATTTGTCTACTTGAAGCAAAAAACAAATCCCTCTCTGCAACTCCCCTTTATAAATTCCCCAATTTACTACGCAAATTTCAGCTACACGAAATGGCCACCAAATGCAGTATCCCGGTGATCGATCTACAAGATTTAGATTCCCCCAACCAATTATCCAAATTGATCTCAGCATGCGAAGAATGGGGCTGTTTCCGGCTACTCAACCACCACGAAGTCCTCCCATCGACGCTGATGTCGGAGATGAAGGCGGTGGTCAGATCACTCTTCGATTTACCGGTGGAGATCAAGCGCCAGAACACCGACGTCATCACCGGAAGCGGATATATGGCTCCATCAGCAAAAAATCCGCTCTACGAAGCACTCGGATTGTATGACATGTCATCTCCTCAAGACGTCGATTCCTTTTGCTCTCAATTGGATGCTTCACCACATCAAAGGTACTTCATCCCTCTTTCTGTAACTTTACATACATATTTCATGATCATCACTGAGAATCAGTCAACGGCCTCCATTTTCCGTATGATATGTAGATAACGAGAAATAACAGGAACTCGGTCGCTTTCATGGTGTTTGAAAGAGATTGATTTTCTTACAAGTAACTGATCCTGAAATAATTGATGAACACATGTGATTTAACTGTATAGAAGTTTCAATTTTGACAGAGAGACAATCATGAGATATGCTGGAGCAGTACATGACCTATTTATGGGGATCGTAGGGAAATTAGCCGAAGGTCTAGGGGCCAAAAGTGAAAATATCGGATTCGAGAATTGGCCATGTCAATTCAGGATAAACAAATACCACTTCACCCCTGAAAGTGTTGGTTCCCCTGGTGTCCAAATACACACAGACTCCGGTTTCCTCACCATCCTCCAAGACGATGAAGGCGTCGGCGGTTTAGAAGTCATGAACAGCTCCGGCGAGTTCATCGCCGTCGATCCCTGGCCAGGCACCCTTCTCGTTAACCTCGGCGACATGGCAACGGTGCGTCCCTACTCCCTAAACCACCAAATTAGGGTTTTTTTCATTCAATTTAGATTTGACGCAATGGTGAATTGATCGATGTTACTTGAAGGTTTGGAGCAATGGAAGATTTTGTAACGTGAAGCATAGGGTGCAGTGTAAAGAAGCGAAGATACGTGTTTCGATTGCGTCGTTCCTTTTAGGGCCGAGAGCGGCGGTGGAACCGCTGCCGGAGCTTGTGGATGATGAGCACCCCCGTGTGTACGTGGCCACCACCTACGAAGAGTACAGGAAGCTGAGGTTCTCGACGAAGCTGCAGGCAGGCGAAGCTCTTGCACTCTTGTACACATCAAGCTCCGAGTGATGAACCATGGTTCAAAACTTCACATCAGTCGCATTTTTATTGAGAAAATGTTGCAATATATGTTAGAAAACATGAATATTACATATTACATATTTAATATTAGTATGGCATAGTGCTTAAATAATTTTTTTAAATATTCCAACGAAAATTTGCTTTGGTGGATATATACCAAACATAAGTAGTCATTGTCATTTAGTTGATTGCCATTGCAAACCAAATAGTTAGAGGTAGTTGCAACATGTGTAGTTGCATCGTTTCCAAGTTTTGTTATGTGCAACCTTGTATGGTTGCATTGTCATGCGACTTGATTAAGGTTTCATATAAGGTTTCATATGAGTTTTTAACCAAAATGAAAAAAATATTTACCAATCTAGTAGAGTATGAAAATTATTTACCAAACTAGTGTTTTTCTTCATTTTTTTTTTATTTTTCAATATTTCTTATTGTTTTTCTATTTATTAAAAAATCAGCTTTTTTACTTTTTTTAATTCAGTTTTTTTTACTATTTATTGTTTTTAAATATCAGTTTATTTTTTTATTTTATTTTTGTTTTAGTTTTTTTTTATTAAATTTTATATACTTTTATTTACTATACATTTAACATAAATATCTAACATACAAAAAAAAGTTTTATTATTTTGGTTCATTATATGCCTATTTGATTAATTTTTTTCTACCGTTTATATAGTGATTACGAGTTTACTTTAATTTTCTTACCATTTATTTATACATATATTTTAAAAACTTAACCCTTTTACAAATTCAAGTTTTTTCTCATGTCTTTATTTATACAACCTTTGCATGCTTTTTAATTGAGTGTCTTTACATTATAAAATATAAAAAGCAAAAGTTTACATATTTTTTGTCTTTACATAAAAACAAATATGTAAAAACATAGAAAACAAATTTTAAAAAAAATCTAATTTGTAACACGAAAGAAATCATAAAATACATGCATAAAACGAAATATGTAAAAAATATTTAGAAAACAAATTTCCAAATCAATAAAAACTATTATTTCAAAAGACGTGAAAACAAAATTGTAAAAAAAAATATACGGACAAAATTTTATAACACAACTATTACTTTTGCTTTTTATATTTTATTTTCAATGTAAAGAAACTCAATTAAAAAGCATGCAAATGTTGTATAAATAAAGACATGAGAAAAAACTTCTTTTTGTAAAGGGTTAAGTTTTTAAAATATATATATAAATAAATGATACGAAAATTAAAGTAAACTCGTAATCACTATATAAACGGTAGAAAAAAATTAATCAAATAGGCATGTAATGAACCAAAATAATAAAGCTCTTTTGTATGTTAGATATTTATGTTAAATGCATAGTAAATAATAATAATAATAATAATAATAATAATAATAATAAATTGATATTTAAAATAAATAGTAAAAAAACTGAAATAAAAAAAAGTAAAAAAGCTGATATTTTAAATAAATAGAAAAACAATAAGAAATATTGAAAAATAAAAAAAATGAAGAAAAACACTAGTTTGGTAAATATTTTTCAAACTATACTAGATTGGTAAATATTTTTTTTCAATAACCCAATTTTGGTTAAAAACTCGGTTTCATATTCGCATAATTGGTGCTCCTCTTTTAAGTTTGAGTATGTTTTTAGAAACGAACAACATATTATCATGAAATTAAATTAAAAGTACATTGCTATTTTTTGCTTAAAAGTGAAGTATACTGTTGTTTTTGCCAAAAATAAGTACATTGATTTTTGCTTTAATTTAGAACTACATTGTTGTTTAATACTTAAAAGTGAAGTCATGTGCATTTTCGCGAATAACATGGAATTAGTACTTAAAACCTAAACCCGAATTAGGTACCGATACTGAACCGGTACCATATGGTATCGAATCAGGTTTGATGGGAGATTGTCATTTTCATGTCTTTAATGACGATTTTCTAACAGTGTTAGTTGAAGTACATCTGGTACAAAATATTGAAACATTAAGGACTAACTGTGTCAAATATTTGAAATTTGAATCCTGAGTGTGAATTTGTATATACCATAGCCACGTGTTTTCTAATTTACTCTTTAATATATCCTCTCTAATAAATGAAGGTTGTTTTTGCCACTTGTCACACTCTAATTTAATTTGTCAAATGTCATTTTGTGGTTATTTTGATTTTTTTTTCCACATGTCATTTTATGAGTTTTCTATTTTATTAAATTCGACATGATATTTTAATGTAATAATTGCAATAAATGTAGTAATAAATGAATATTTTCAAAATTCTCAAAATTAAAGCTCATTACTTTCTTTTTCTTTATTTAAATTATTTGTTTAAATTTAAAAGATAAAAAATATTTTCATTATAATAAATCATTATTTTTTTTTATTTTCTTATAAATTCAAAATTTTCAAATAGTTTAACTTTTATATTTAACTTTTTTTTTTTAAATTAACTCATATAATACATGGATTTCACACCTAGTTAATTTAATCTATCAAAAGAAAAATATTAAAAAAAAATATTGTGCAATTTAAAAGATTTATATAAGAAGAAGAAGCGAAGTCATTTGCTCATTTAGAATGTTAAATTTTGATTGGTTTATAAAATTCAGGAGGTGAAATGAGTTTTGTCTTTGTTCAAAATGGAATGTGACATTCCAATATGAAGGCAGACAAAGTTTGTCGTAGGTATTTGTTTGTGTTGGGTTGTCGTGATTTTTTTCATTTTGAAATATATTTATTTATTTATGATTGAATTAAAAAATATATAATTCTTTTTAGAATGATGTTC